TATATATATATATATATATATATCATGAGCCACATATCTTATTTAATCAAGTGATTAAATATTCAATGTTTTATATTGTATTTCACTATTTATTTTCTTAACCAAGGAATTACGTAAACGCAGTGTCAACCACTAGCATTTGATAAAATTAAAATATAAAGATAGCTTAAATAACGCAACTTCGAGCAACATCTAAAAGATGAACAATTTCAACCAACCAGAAAAATGAAGGTGACTAAGGAACAACAACTGATTAGTGCAATTAATGATGATTTTGAAAGCCATTATGGTTAGAAGCTTTCTTCATTTCCAAAGCCCTCTTATAAGGCGGGTCTATAGGTGGTTGCACAGGATCCAAACTCTTATAACTTCCGTCAGCGGCTTTAGGAAGCGGGTATGAACGGTCCGAGTCATAACCGCTAAGATCTCCACAAGCCAGAAACGGTATGTATACCTTGTTTGCACCTTCTAACCATCCACTACTGCAATCTGCCATTTAACAAATTCACTATCAATCACACAACTTCAGTTTTAACATTAAAAGGTGCATACACATTAGATCTTCTGGCTGTTATAACCTTACACATGTTTATATTTACTAAATTCATAATGATATGTTATAACTAAAAGAGTAACATGCATCAAAATGCAACAAAGTCTCGTTTAGTTCTTATTTAGTGTAACGAAGATCTTTTCTCTCAATCCATGTAATGAAGTTTCAAATTTTCATATTTTATACCCATTTTTGAATGATAACATGTTGATCTTGTTACATATGATGATGTAGATACCTGTTTACGAAATGGTAACCGAAATGGTTACCGCAAAGTGGACGGTAAACTTGACATCAATGTCATCAAATAGTACATGATAAACAGTTTATCGGTCAAAATAGGTATAAAAAGAAGGAAATTTTTGAACTTTGTTACATTAAATAGAAAATTTTGGACCAAGGCAAAGACAAGTCTAGGCTTGTCCTGCAAAAACAAGGTTCAAGTCAAGAAAGGAGCCTCTATCAAGCGAAGGTTCAATACATAGACTTAAAACCAACAATCCTTGGTGCGAAATGGTCGCATTCAAAATGACCCTTTATCAGAAACAACCGAAAAGACTGAAATGCAAGTCCTTCCAGATTAGATGCATAAAAAGAGATTGAATTTGAAGTTGTAAAATACCAACCATCCAATCACAAAACGAATAGTAGAATAAGATACCTAAGTCGTCTGCACCAGATGGACTTCCAACCTTCTCAAGGAGGCGATGTAAATCTTTCTCGTTGAACCCTTCAGGAGGTGAATAATTCTCACAAACAGCAAATGCCTCTGTTTACCAAAAAATATTCAAGCAGGCATAGTTGTCATTCAGCTGAATAATTGAAGCATAGTTTTACACAAAAACACGACCAAGAGACCGCCATGTAATGTGGAAGACTGAAGTATGCATAGAACGATATGAAGCTAACCAAATGGGCCTTTGGCCCTTTAGGAGGTCAAGGGTTCAAGAAATTAACATACCATAAGCAGCACTTTCCAGTTTGGAAAGTACAAAGCTATTAAGCACTCATATTAGAGGCCACATCTGCACCGGATGCAAAATGGATGTGGGTGTGGGCGTCACAAGATATGCACCAGGTGTGTAGACCCATTTATCAAAACTAAAACAAATCTCTTGGGGTGTGGTTAACTTATTTTTTGAGGCTAGTTCATTTTTGTCATTTCAAGTCCTTGCTTATGGGTTTTCTATGCTTCCAGGTCCAAAAAGAACATGATATTTCAAATACCTGGACGGCTTATATTTAATTATGGTTATAAAAACCTAAAATTTTTACAGCGATTATCCATATATCCAGGGTCTAAACACTCCGTTTTCCATTTCTCTGCCCTCCTTTTTATATCGTAATTCATGACTACTTGTCTCTTCAGTACCCGATATGTATCAGACCCAATACAATGCACTTGCTCCCACGCCTCCTAGGTAAAGTGGTATGATATATGATGCAAGTATAGTTACAGAACAATATGGACAGAACTTGTAGGAAAATTGTTGAGGGGTAGACTGAGGAGGGCGTGACACGAGCAACTAAGGTTGGACATGGCGGCTTTAGGCCTTTCTGAGGACATGAACTATGATAGAAGTTCATGAAGACGCAAAACTAGGGTACTAGACTAGGGTTGGAGATCTAGATGAGAGAAAGAGAGCTGGAGAGGTAGGAGTTTGGGTTAGTGGGTAGGTAATTAAGTTTTACGTTGTTCACTTGCCTTGCCTCTCCGTATTGTTTTTTCTTACTAATGTCCATCTTTTATAAATTTAAGCATACAATCTTTTCCCTCTTACGGACAACTTTCACAAGCTGGAGATCTTCACCAAAACAGCCGCTCTACTCTTTGAGGTAGAGGCCAAGTCTGCTTATATCTTACCCTCCCCAGACCAACTCCGGGCGAGATATACCGGGCTCCATTGTTTTGGTTTTTAAAAAAAAATTGTTCACATTGGCCTGAGGCGTTACACTCAAGGAGATTGTGCAAAATTGGGAGATTCTTTAGAGCAACTTCTCATTAAAAACTAAATATTCTATTCCACTATTCAATAGTTTGATCTTCAATATAAAGCATCACAACTCCATTTATATAAACAGAAATCCTAGTTAACACATACGGAACAAGAAAAATTTAGACTACAATACCCTTGATAAGAAAACCCTAGGCATAGGCAAATCTCACTGTCATCCTATCGAATTTACCTTTTAGTACTTCCTGATCACATGATCCCAACGCTACTTACCTATACTACTTCCGACACATGTCATTGAAGCTTGCAACCATTACACAATAATTCTTTTATCTTATGACCAGGGACATACCTACTAAAAGCCACGGGGGTCCCATGCTACCGCTACTCCATTATCACAAGAGAATAGGCACCTTAAAAGTGCACAGGCTTAATTTTGAAGGGTGCCCAATAATATTTAAAAACCAAAATGTACAATAAATCTAATATCAGTCAGATGGTCTGAAAAGGTCGGATTAAAGCTTGCCCTACAAGAGGTCCCACGTTCGATTTAATATTTAGTTGTTCAACTTTTTAATTTCTTACAATTATCATCAGCTGAGCACGGGTCCTTTCTCACAGATGAGGTTAAGCCACATGTGTGCCCCTTAAGCTAGCCCATGGGCTCCATGTTTGAAGTTGTAAAGCTTGACCATTTTACAATGTGTCATCACATGATAGAGCAGTTGGCCAACACAAAGGCCATATATTTGTCATCGACTCCATTTAACTTTTTCCTATCATCTGCTTTTAATCCATATATTCTAGGTTTGCCTTAAATCTGATTTTCCCTAAATTTGTTTGGTCAATTTTCATTCGTTCAAACCTAGTGTTGATTTTAATTTGCAAAACATCCTATTTAATACTAGAAGTCCTAGATGCATAAAGAAATGAAATTGGAAAGTGGAAACCTAGAAAAAGAAGTAAAAGACGATCAAAATCAAATCCTAAAAATTGGAAAATATAAGAAATCGACCACAAAACCAAAAAAGACCCCCTTAAAGGTGGAATTTGGCTAAAAACACGTCTTGCGCCTCGCTCAAAAGGTCAACGTCGATTCCATATTGAAAAAATGTATTTTATTCCCCAAATCAACACAATTGACTTTTCCCCGAGTCAAATCATGTTGACTTCCTCCCGGGTCAAACCGTCCTTAAAGGTGCACCCGCTCAAAAGAGAACCTGGGTCCGTCATTGCTTATGACTACATCTTTATCAATCGCTCTATCTCATGTAAAAACATGCTCATTGTATGCTTCCATATGAACACCCCAAGATTTTTTCTGATAAATTAGCACCCAACACCACTTTTTGCACTTCTCAGACTATGTCTATTCAACCTTGATATTAAACATCAGGAGTTCTCCATACTTCTATCAATGTCCGGACTACTACATGACAAAAATTAAATATTACCCAAGCCTTAATTTGTCAGCTATAGGAAGTAGTTTGGGGTTTAGCCCTTGGATAAATTGTCTGGACACTTCCAGTTGTATTTGTATAAAAGAATATCTGAACGTTTTTATTTGAGTTATTATTGACTATGTGTACCATGCCAGGTCTTCTTACTAATTATCTTGGGTTTGGGCATATGCATACATGTTTTATAATAATATTATCAAATGTTAGTCTGTTTCCTGGTTAATTGCCTCTCGATGACACAAGAGTTGCTTCTGTGAATAATAATAATAATAATAATAATGCACAATCTCTCTCTCATCATAATCACACATTCAAGAAAATAAAAATATGGCAGTTGGGTGGTAACTTTGCTGGCTGCCACTGAGTCACTTATTAAAATAGACAAGATTCAAGTGGGACTCACCTATGCTTGAATTCCGGCTACTTTTTGGTTTTGCAAGAGTTACTTCTGTGAAAAATAGCTTTAACTGCAAGAAATCAGATCATAAGACAATTCAGCAAGCTGGAATTACAAAAGCACAACTAAGCTTCATGTAATAGCCTGTTCACATTCACCAAGAGCAAGCTAACTATTTGTTTCACGTTTTACATATATGGATCAAGGAAGCCACTAGCAGTTGTCTCAAAGAAGAAAAGAATCAAAGCATACTGGTAATGTAGAAAATGAAGAATCTGTATAACATGTACCATCAATTCCAAGCAATTGCCTATCTCTGAAGTTGGCAAACACAAGCACTGATTTATGTATAACTCATGCACAGTTGTAGTCACACACCTCCCAAAGGAAGAGAAACTGCGGGTCTTTTAATTGATGGCATCAACTGGCCCATCTTTTAGTCAAATTTATGTTATGGGTATCAGCTATTCAGCTACTTCAGTTTTAACTGTATTTCCCTCTTCTAAGTATTCGGATGGTTGAATGTTCAAATTGCATCTACATCATACACATGCTTATTCTCATGTGTTTTTCACTTATTTAAGCAAACTCGGTTGTTCTTTATAGATTATTAGTTGAAAATTATGTTATTTTCCAGATTCCATAAACAATATACGCTTAAAACACAAWTWAAMMMCYT